TTTTGTATAGAGCATATTTTTTATCAAACAGAGAAGTGATTGTTTATAGCTTTTGCTGGTGTTTCATTCGAATTCATTGCCAGCAGAAAAGGATGGAAAGGGTGACAAAAAGGAGACGACGAAATCATTCTGGCTGGCTATAGATATTATAGCATTGTTCATTTATTTGAAGACAAAACTTTTGGGTCTGATAGTCATTTTAAAATGTAAGCTTACATGTTTGATTTCGATTTTTTTTAAGTTTGAAACAATTCATGGACAAATTATTGTTTTCTATCCCAATATTCCCATGAAAATAACACGTTGCTGAAAGTATATAATATAACACTGTTGAATAAGGCACAATTCATTGCAATAAATTCAAACAAAATGTTCTGAAAAAAATGGTTAAAGAAATGTAATAAAAGGACATTTGATCTGAAATATGGAACCTTGAGTATAGATGAACATTTGTCGGATTTCAAACCGATCCGGATCGGTTTTTATCCGATCCGGTTTTTTCTCATAGAAAAAAAACCGGTTTATAAAATAACCGGTTCGGTTTTTAACCGATTTGGAGGGTCGGATATCCTAACCGGTGTAACCGGTTTCGGTTTTAAAAAAATCGGTTTTTTTAAAAAACCGGTTATAAAAAAACCGATTTTAATATTCCAGATTACTCATAGGGAACCGATTCCCCCCCAAGGGGTACCGATTCCTCACTGAATGGTTTGGCTCCGAGATTTCCAGAATGCTCGGAGGGAACCGATTCCCCCATAGGGGGTACCGATTCCCCCTATTCAACGGTCGAAATATTTGAATTTTACACTTAGGGAACCGATTCCCTATGAGGGTACCGATTCCCCCACGCTCCAAGCATTTTTATTAAATGTTTTCACACTTAAACGACTATATTATCTTCATTAATTATCACTAAAGTTCAGAAGTGATTCAAAGTGTATTTAAGCAAGCTTAGAAGCCATTGATCAAAGACAAGAAACATCAAGCAACTAGAATCAAGAGAGAATCAAAGAGAAAGCATCAAACCTCAAGTTCGATAAATTTAAATACTTAATTGAAATACTTAATTAACTCAACATAATTGAAATACTTAAATACTTCCAAGTTTGATAAATTCAAATACTTAAAAACTTCCAAGTTCGATAAATTCAAATACTTAAAAACTTCAAGTTCGATAATTGAAACAAAGTTTACGATAATTGAAATAAAGTTATAAAATAAACTACATTGCCATCTCTTCTTCATCATCTTCGCCTTCTTCGTTTGGAGGGGATATTCCAAGTTCGACTTCTTCAATGTGTAAGTTTGCTTCCAAATCGGCATCAATTGCATCTTCTAGGGTGGTGATATGTTGCTTACGAGCCGCTCCATCCAAATAATCCTTTAAACAAATGCATACTTCCACCAACTCGGGACTTAGTCTTGATCTCCGTTGCGATATAACCCTGCCACTAACAGAAAAAGCGGATTCCGAAGCTACCGTAGAAGCTTGGACGGTTAGTAAATCACGGGCCATGGCGGCTAGAATCGGAAATTGTGCTTCCTTTTCTTTCCACCAAGCCAAAATATCCAAACTTTCAAACTCTTCAAATGTCATTTTTGATAGAAAAGCGCATGACATATAATTTCCCAACTCGCTACTTGGGGTGGTAGTACGTGATCGTTTGGATTGGGAATTTACAAGAGTGTTAAAAAGATTCAAATTTATGTTACTTGGACGTCTACTAGATGATTCCGCATTCATTCTCATTTGATCGTGTATTACACTACTTGATCCGTATTTATTTAAATAAATTGCAAACATGTCTCGAAAACATTTGTTAAAATAATTTATTTGGTTTTGGACAAAGTTGGGTTCATCATCGGTTAGATTAAAAGCAAACGCAATTTGTTCAATTAGTGTTTCAACCCCACCAACATTTAACGTTGGGTTTAAAGCGGCGGCACAAGTAAAAATGGGGGGAATCTCCTTAAATATTTTAAAAGTTTTTCCTTCATTGCAAAGCCAATTTCTTGAAAAACTTCGGTTTCAAATTCAAAGTCATTTAGTCGGGTAGCCAACAAAAATATTTGATTAAGAACCAACGGGCTAGTAGGGTAATAACACCGGATAAAAAAGTTGTTGCATTTTTAAAAACCTCAAGCAAATCGGTTATTTTGGCTATAGTTTCCCAACTCGAATCCGGATAAATGTTTGGGACATGACCCCTCTCGAAAAGCCGATCGTGAAATGTTTGCAATGTTTCCCTTTGCCTTAAGGCAGTATGCATCATCATCCAAGTTGAGTTCCAACGAGTTGGACAATCCAAATTAGGACCCAAAGCTTTTTTATTAACGGACTTACAAAATCGTTTATAATCATTTAGTCTTTTGTTGTTGTTACAAAGAACCGATTTTATCATTGTTTTGAATTCTAATCTAATCGGCTCAATAACCTCCAAACCGGCTTGCACGGATAAATTAATTATGTGTGCAACGCAACGGGTATGAAAAAACGCACCGTCTAAAATCGGTGAAAGTAATATTTTCAATCTTGAAACCGCGTTTGTATTATTCGATGCATTATCAAAGGATATAGAAAAAACTTTATTTTCTAATTTATAAAGACAAATTACCCTTTTTAAAAGTGTAAATAAATTAACACCGGTATGCGGCTCACCGAATAATTCAAACGCGATTGTCCTTTTCATCATTTGCCAATTATCTTGATCTAAACAATGTAACGTAACGGCTAAAAAAGAATTTCCGGTATTATGAGGGGAACTCCAAACGTCACATGTAAGCGACACACCATAACGGTGTTCTTGGAATCCTAAAATCATTTTTTCCCTCGCCGTACGCCACATTTTTATAGCATCTCTTCTAAGGGTAGTACGACTTACTTGAGTATAACGTGGTTGCATTAGTTGTTGAATTGTTGTCGTGAAATCTTCATCATCAAAGTGGTCGAACGGCAATGCTTTGTAATCACGAACTTTGTAAACGCTTCTCGTAATTTTTCGTTGTCGTAAACAAAAACACCACCTTGCGGTGTAAGATTCGATTGACTAGGATCCGATCTTGAGCGAAGTGCCTTGCATGATTTTGTCAAATGGTTCTTCAACGTTGTGTTTCCTTCCGATGCAAGAAACTTTAGACAAAGTTTACAACGCGCCCTCCTCGAGCCATTTGACATCTCACATAAATCGTAGTGATCCCAAATGTCTTTGTTTCGAGTGTGTTCGATCACTCTCACGACTTCAAGGTTTCCCCCGACGGAAGATTCAGCTGTGTTACTCATGATGAACAAAAAATTACAAAAGTAAGATTTGAGAGATGTTTAAGTGTTGTGTAATAAGATTTGAGGAATTTGTAATCAACCAAATACATCCCCAACCTATTTATACATGTTTAGGGTGGTAAAATTGTAATTTTTTAAAGGAAAAAACGGTCAAAAACGGTCACAAAACCCCCCAACGGCTATATTAACGGCTAGTTTTTTAAACCCAGACCGGTTTTTTAACCGGTTTTTTTCAAACCGGTTTTTTATCCGGTAAAAAAACCGGTCTAGGTTTTTTTCTCCAAACCGGTTAAAATAACCGGTTTAAAAAAATCCGATCCGGTTAAAAAAAAACCGGTTTTTCCCAAAACCGGTTTCGGATATTTTTTTCGGATATTCGGATATTCGGATTTTTTGTGCACCCCTAACCTTGAGTGACAAAATTTTAGGCAGCACCCCTCCCCTTCTTTCTCTGGATCTTCTTCATGTAGAACTCCAGCTCTTTGCCTTCCAAGATACGCCTGTAAAACCCATTTGCCACTAGAATTTGAGGGATATAACTTATTGTTACTGGTCCTGCATTTCATCCAAAGAGATTAGTGAATGTTAAAAGCTAATATCGAGAAATTACATACCCGTCAGCACGGCCGCACTGACCAGGTTGCGAGACGAGCCAGTAAACGACCACCACCAAATTGCTCATCAATATGTGGCTCAAGATGGGTGCGATTCTCCTGGCGCTTTAACAACTTCCTTAAGACATGGTTCTTCTTCACCACCTCGTCAGCAGCAGTTTCACCTTCTTACATACGAAACGAAGCAAGACAATGTAAAACGTCGTAAACAGAAATATCCCCCGTCAAGGATTAAGAGAACCCGAGACATCATTATGACTAACTTGAAGACTTGCCAAAGGTGTAAACCAGATTGCTATGTAATTTCAATTACGGTGGGGGACCGAGTACAGACATGGTACAGAAACAAATTGACATACTCATGTTATTTCAATTACGGTAAGGGACCAAGTTCAGACCGATCAGTTGCTGAAGTAACTCGCCAATGTATGAACTGATCTATTATTGAATAAATGATACCCAGTTGAAAAGGAAAAAGAAGAGTTCCTCCTACCTCTGATTCTTTCTTGCCAGCTGCTGCAGCTGTTTTCTTCTTGCAACCAATGTCGATATTATAGTGCTGGAGATACCTTTGCTTGAATGGAGCTGCATCAACTTGAGCAATAGCACTCTTCACCGAAGTTTGAGTATGAACTAGCTCGTTGTTAGAAGCATTGTACACCACATCCAAAATTCTAGTTTTACGAGTCACGGCCTCGCTTCCCCAAGAGTAGCTTCCGGTGTCGTCTCAGAGCACGCCACTTCACATTTTCACCTCGAACCCTAATCCTCCTGACTGTCTTGTTGCTTGACAACTTAGTGTTTGCCGGTTGCCTTCCAAGCTCATATCTTTTCAAATAAACCATCAAAAAGTCGGGATAAATTAAGATTGAAAAACCAAGTGCTACAATCCAATAGGTAACAAATAAACCGGATAAGGTCTCTGGCATCTAACCAAACAAGAAAAGCTAAACTTTTACTTTCACATAATAATGAAAAGTGCATCTTTTATGGTAATGAAATGATAAGCAACTTGAATCAAGTACCAAAACCAATTAAGCTCAATAAAATCGCTCCAAAATCAACATTTGTTCTAGTAAATTACAAGAACATAACCCCTTTTTTTAAACTAATTCTGAATCAACTTTCTAAGCAACTAACCAGATAAAAATGATAAAAAAGAAATCAAAGGACAACAAATAGTGAAGAGTTTTGCACATTACTTCCTTTTTGCCACCAGTGGCACGCCTATTGTGCATAGAATCACGAGATATACCTACCAGACAAATGGAATTAAACTCATTAAGCAAGAAAATTATGCAGAAAATTACATAATTTAGAATATATTGATGAAAAGATATTAGAGAAATTTGAGATATACCCATTTTAACAAGCTCAAGCCTTTTCCAGGGGCTCTGAGTGTTGAAGCAAATCTATATCTATGTAATAAAGCAGTGGGTAAACAAGTTTGAGCTTTGGGTGTGCACAAAAACCTTAGCTTTTGCGAAATGACTTTAATGCCCTATTTGGGTTGGGTTTATGTTAGAGTAAACTAAGCAGTGGGTGAACAAGTTCACGCTTTTAGAACAATAAAGTGTTCGGATTTCATGATTTGATCCATTAGAGCCCAACTATTATTACTGGATGTTGTATCTTTAAGATTTCAGCAACATTTTGTCTTTATCAGATTGGGAACAACTAAAAGCTCCCCACTTTGCTCAACAATGGTAACAACAAGCAAATCAAATTGGGATAAATTTATTCCTTTATATCTCCAAAACTCCCTTACAGCTTGCAAATTATAGAATACCAATTTGATTCCCCCTTTTTTTTTGTTGTTACAACGCATAACCCACTTCCTTGAATCCATCAGTGTATGCAAAATCTAGCATTGGATACATTTAGAGGGTATTATGATGGGGTTAGCACTGTTAGGTACCTCTGGTTCTTATGTTTCAGTGAGAGGTTCCCATCAATGGAATCCCAAGTTTCAATCATTCACTTTGAAAGAGAGGTTTCTTCTTGGGTTCAACCTGACTAAGAATTTAAGGGCTTATAATAAAGTTACAAGACTTCCCCTTTGCAAGGGTGAGTTTGTTGAGTTTGAAGAAAGAACAAGCCCAAATGAGGTAATCTTTTGGATAGCCATAGATTTGGATTTTAATAGCTTCTTTAGAGAATTAGACTTGATTTCATATTATTCCAGCAAAATCTCAAAATCTCTGTGCAAATATACATGTTGGTTATATTTTTTTGGCTTTTGTTTTGTTTGTAACGGTTAGGATTTTTTAGCATGCTTAGCTTAAGTGTTTTCTTGGAGATATAAAAGTTGAATTGCTCCCATTTTTTTCATTTCAACTTAGCATAATGGATGTCATCTTCTTCTGGTTATATATGTACTATGCTGGGATATATTGTTGGTGTGATTGCTGTGGAATGAGAAGCTTATTTGCTACTTAAATTTCATTTGAAAGGTCAGAAAAGAGATAGACCAATGCTATGAACTCATACACAGACTTGGGAGGGGAGTTGTGTACTTGGGTTCGTCGAGGATGGGACCTGGCCATCCACATTACTCACAAACGCATGAGCTTTCTAGGGAGGCAAGTTAATTTATAGAGCTTTTGTCTATCTCGGTTAAGGTTTTTAGCGAAAGTCCTATACTTTGGAATAATCTTCCCTAGTGGTTCGTTCTCTTTTTTATTTCGCTCCATCCTTTTTATGTGTTTCGTTTTCCTGCTTAGCAGATAGCTAACCTTTTGGACTGTACCACGTGGACGGGGGCTGGTCCTGGCCTCATGGATGCTGCTATTAAGGGTGCTCAGGAAGTAGGAAAGGCGGTCGGTGGGTTTAAGATAGGTAAGGAAGCTGGAGAATGGACGTCCTCAAATTTTCATCCGTACCTGCACTCTGAGACTTATCTTACATGCAGGTGAATGTTTCTGTTTCTAACGGTTTACCAACAGTGTTCTAGTACTATGCATTTGAATGATCCTGAAATGAAAATGCAGGTTTTTCTCTGCTAGAAAGCATGGGTTGGTTGATGCTGCAGTTCGGAGTTCGAACTCTGATAAAACAGCTGTGGTTGCTCTCCCCGGAGGGGTTGGTACTCTTGATGAGATGTTTGAGATTTTGGCATTGATTCAGCTTGAAAGGATTGGATCAGAGCTTCCAGTTCCCTTCATAGTAATGAACTACGACTCGTTTTATGCAAAACTGTTGGACTTTCTCAATGATTGTGAGCACTGGGGTACCGTTTCTAAGGGAGAGGTTTCGTCGTTGTGGAAGATCTGTAACAATAATTCTGATGCTTTGGCATATTTGGCAGAGTTTTATGATCTGCCTTATCCCGACAATGGAAAGCATGAAACAGAAATGAGAAGCACATGGTAACTCTGCCAAGCTTCACGGGTATGTGAACTAATAACACACTGATTTGTGAATCCGTCCATGTTATTTTATCAGAATTCTACTATGAATTGTGAAAATCAATAATAGATCATGCTGTTTCTGGAAAAATAAGATATTAAAGCTTGTACTTGGTTGATTCTATGCATACATCCACTATAACAAGCGATTGTTTGCTAAGATACCTGTTTCTAAAAGCATAGGTATTTAACAACTATAAACGTTTCCTGAAGAAGAACCTTAGGTCAAATAAGTAATGTCTTTCACATTATGGTGCACCACTCAGGGTCACCATTACGAAAGCCTTCTGGTTGAGGCGGCGGCTGGGGAAAGTATTCGGCCTGTGGCTCGTTGGAAGGATAATTCTGATTATAATGCAGGTAATGTGGGTAGTTTTCATATATGGGGTGCCAATTTCTTTGTTGAGGAGGGTAGCCATGATGATACTCTGTTTGTCCATAAGGATTATATCCGTAGTGGCCATTGTACGGGTAATCATAGCCGTGTCTCAAAGGGACGGTCATCTCGCCATATCCAGAACTCACCGGATAAATATCCGCATGTAACCCTACTTCTGCAAGGATCTTCATAAGTTGTCTGGGGTTTATCCTTCCTGTTATTTGGACATGTCCCTTCTCTCCATCGATGTTATAAGTGATTCCTAAAGGAAACCAACCAATACAAATTAAACTAATACAAACACAAATCAAAACAAAAATAAATATCATTAAGTGACTTGTTCCTCAAGAAATTAACAAGTAGAGAACAACCATCAATGCTGTCCAAGACCCTGAAAAGCATCAATCGCCATCCGACAAATCGAGTATCGACTCTTAGAATACAGTTCTGATCAGAAAACAGAATCCAGAAGAAAAAAAACCATCAGACTAATACAAATTAGTATTTCTAGAAGGAAATGCTGAATCTACTGAGAAATAATTATAACAGTTTGGGTGTAACCATGTAGTCAGTTGGATGATCCATAACTGAGATTGTTCTTTCTTTGCCTTGAAGCTAAAGAGAAAGTTCAATGTAGGTAGTGGGGAAAAAGGTGAAATGGACCAAAATGATAGTCACATTTAACTGATATATATAAGCTAAAATAGTTATCATATTGTAAGGAAGTTTAAGGAGGTGGACTGATCATGTTAAGGAAGTTAATTAGCGTAATTAAGTGTATCAAAGGAGATCAAGAAATTAAGATGGGATTTTGGAGAAATTTCCTCCATTATTCGGTGACTAAGAATTTCATCAATATTTTGGAAACAAATAAATAAACCTTGCTAAATCCCATGAAATCTTACCCTGTATACCTCAGAATTATTTTAATTATTATTTGGATATCTTGCCATTTCAAAATTGACTAGCTACCTAGAATCTAATATATTTAGGTGATTTTTTTGAGTTTATGATAAGATATTTAATTTTTTAACAATCAATCGATGTGAATTGGTGACATAATTTATTAGTTTTTAATGTGATTACAGGGTAGTATTTGTTCGAAATTCTCTCAATTAATTGACAATGTCACAATGAACACGCACACACCCTACAGTATGCAGACATCGTTTTTTGAATCTTGGACTTCAAGGAAAACAAGAATCACTTTAACCATTGAAGTCACTTTATGAATACTAGTTTTCTCATCGATTTATTCATAGAAATAAGAAATTAAATTCATCCAAAAACTTCTCCAACAATGTATAAAAAACATCTTATCTTCTGTTGGCTTCTTACAATCATAAGACTCTGTAAGCCAGCCTTAGAACAAACAAAACCATGGAAACTACTGTGTTTCCATCAGAAATGGGAGGAAACCTTTAACACCAGCTACTCAAACAACAAAATTAAAACCCAAACAAACTTTACATTAAACAGCAAAAGGAATTTTTGGGTTTGGAGGTGGGAGCTGAATTGTTCATGGTCTCATCCTTAGGCTCAGGTTCGTTATCAACTAGTCTCCCATAAGGATCGACTTCGCATCCATAATACAACCAGCAAAGTCGAGCTCCGGTTGCCTCGGCTTTCGCTAGCAACTTCAACTGCAGCAGAGGGTCTATTTTCCCGGAAATATAAGCTTGTCTTGTAAAAGCATTTATGCTAAATGTCACACCTTCCATAGACTCGAATAAAAGACACATTCCTTTGTGCCAATTAGGAATATCAGTATCCACTTGCAAAACACATTTCTGCAGGCAAATTTTTGCAGTTCCTTTAACTATTTTCAATAATAAAAAGGAGGATTGTAAAGAAATTTTATAGTTTGGTTTACCATTAGAGGTTCTGATGTGTGCTCTGGAAGAGTGATTCCATAGTTTATGTGATGAGTAAAAGCATGTGTGCTGGATTTCGCTAGCGACTTCAGTAGAAGCGCTTTGTCAATTGTGCCAGAAACATGTGCAAACCTTGTTTGTGCATCAATGGAGTATGATACACCTGATAAAGCCATAAACATCCCCGACAAAATAAAATAAAATCTGAATTAAATAAATAAAAATGAAGAAGGCGAAAGAGACAACCTTGAATAGATTTGAAAAGTTTTATCATTGTTGCTTGCCATCCTGGAAGATCAGTATCCAATTGCAGAATTAAAGTCTACGAGGAAATTGAGAGTTCCTGTTAGTATCATAGTATGTATGTATGTATGTTAAGAAGAAAATGATGATTACCATGCCTTGTGGTTGTTCAGCCATTGATGGAAGACTAAAACTAGAGCCTTTTTCTACCTTCTATTTGCTTTAATAAAAAGATTAATGGATAGAAAACTTAGCAAAGAGGGATTTCAAAAAAGAAGTATAACGAATGTCCAAATCTTCCCATAAGAGAATTATGGAAGGTTTTACAGCATGTTTTCTGTGATTTTTCTAGATATATATATATATATATTCACCAGAATCTGGCTTTGATAGCATATATTTAATTGAAACTTTACATACACATATATGGTCAAGGTATTGATTTTCCTAATCCCATTTCACCTTTGATATTTTAGGTTGGCTGCTGTTTCATGGATTGTTTATCAATCTTCATTTTAGAGTTTTCGA